TGATGTGTTGCATGGTGGAAAGTCATCTGAGATAGATCTTGACAGATGAGCATGTTTATAGGAAAGAAATACCAAAGGAAGCCCAGAAACCACATTTACTCAGATACTCCAGTCAAATGTGGGGGGAGGGGGTTCATCTTGATTCTTCTCTTTCATTTATCAAGAATGCTCAGTCATCAAGTCATGTCCATTTTATTTTCTGAATCTCTCATAAATCTAAACCCCTTTTGCATCCCCAAGTCCTCTGACCCAGCCAAGGCTAATTCTCTATGCCTGTACCACTGCCCCCCCCCCAATCTTTATCTCCTTGTTTTAGAAGCTGGCTACTTCAAAAACCCATACTGGATTCTATCCTTCTCTTTTCAAAAGTCTTCCTTGGCTCTCTACTGTCTGCAGGAAAAGATATTCATTCCACAGCCTAACATTCCAGGCTCTTTATGATGTGATCCCTGGTAATCACGCTTGCCTCACCTTCAGTCCCCTGTTCCACATTACAGTTCTAAATACCATTCTCCATAAAGAGTCAGGAGCAGAGGTCAATAAAAAGGAAACAAATATTTCCAAAGAAAAAGGCTTTTTGTGTTTTAGTTTCGCTTTTAGTAATTGAAAATTAAATTAAAACTGTCAAAAGGTAAATTATTCTTGTCATTCTTTCTTCTTCGTGGCCATTTTATAGTGTCTCTGGTTCTCCAAAATTACACATTTTCCTTTTTTTTCCCCTTCCCTATTTTCCTCCCTCCCCTCCCCCTTTCTTTCTCTGTAACCCAACTGTCTTTTTCCCCCGCTCCACTACATCAGCTTCGGAATTCTTAAAGCACAGTAGGCAAGAATCATCTACACTCCACGTGGACTAGAAATAACCTGGCTTTAGAATAGCGTTTCAGTACCATGGAGAGCTGCACATGCGTCCACCTCGGTCTTGAGTGCTTTCTAGGGTCTTAGCACATGCTGTGAATATTACCTACAAGGCACTTCTCTTTCTTCACTTGAAATAGTCCCCCTCGTCCTTTCAGCATCATCAGCTTGGAACCCAGGTCACTCCAATCCTCCCCACCCCCTTACTGTGTCAGGTTAAGATATGCCCCCCTTTCCCAGCATTCCCTGAGCTGTCCTTATTATTCATCAATTATACAAATATTTCAATATGCACTTTGTACCAGCAACTCATCTAGGCTCGGAAGATACAAATGGGAGCATATTTGTAAAGGTCCCTGACTTTTGGAGTTTACACTCTGGTATGATGGGACTGAAAAACAAATATGATGACTGACAACAGCAATAAGTGCTATGAAACAAATAAAACAGGGAATGGGATACTAGAGTGGGGGCCAGGCAACATTATGCATTGTTGTCAGAGAGTGAGACTCTGGAGAGGGAAAGATGGAGCCCCTTGAGAATCAAGCGGAAGACACTTCTGAGAATGGAGGGCTAGTGGGTGTAAAAGTCCTCAGGTGGGGCTGAGATTTACATCTTCAAGGACTAGCAGGAGGCCAGTGTAGCTGAAGTTATAAGCAATGAAAAGAGTGTCAGTGGGTTAAGAAATGAGGTCACAGATCTGAGCAGTAGCCAAATCATGGAAAACCTGCAGGCCAGCATGAAGAGCTCAGACATATTCTAAGTGCAACGGGAATTCATCAAAGCACTGAAGGGATTTAAGCGATGTGTAACAAGCTTTGATGGATGTATAGCTGGGGCCTGTTTTGTGATTGACTGCATGTGGGCCTCATTTAGGAATCAGCTGTGTCTCCAGTGCCCAGCACAGGACCTGGCATTTTAGATGTCTCTGTAAATGTTTGATGAGTGAATAAATAAGCAGATGCATAGAACATGTATTTGAGGGATTAATATGGGTCGTGTCGGAAAGCATGCCTCGTATGACCTGGAAAAAAAAAATCAATGTCACTCCAGCCTCCCCATCCTGTCTCTCACTAACCTTACCCATTCAGTCATCTGGTTTTATTGATTCTTCTGTCAATATCCTTCTTTCTCAAAGCCATCCAGTCACCTTTATCCTGACAGCTCCAGCCCCAGTTCAAAACTTATTTGCTCTTGCTTGGACCACTGTATAAACCTCCTCTTCAGTTAGCCCATTTCCCTCAAGTCCATCCCCAACACAGGTCCCTGAAGGATGTTTAACATCCAGTGTGACCCTTTCCCTCCCCTGCCCCAATCCATCCACTGCTTTCTCCAGAACTGTCTGCCAACTCCACCATATCCCAGACCTCGGGCAACTCCTGTCTTTCTCTCTAAGTCTTGGTTTCCTTTGGGAACATGAGGTGGCTGGACAGATCATTCCATTCCAAGATCTCAGCTATTAGTACTATTGCCATCCGTTCCTCTCCTTTTAAATCTTTTTCATTTTTATGATTTTTTACTTGTTATGGGGCAGTGTAGTGCCATGGTGAAAGCCTGGATTGGAATCCTGCTTCCATGATGGAGCAACTTAACCTCTGATGCTTCTGTTTCCTCAACTGGAAAATGAGAATAATAATGGCATCTGCCTTACAAAGTGAAGAAAAAGAAATAATTTAATTTCACAAGGCACTTAGAACTTCCCCAAACCATGTCACTCAACAAAGTGCTTATTATTATGGTTGTCATTGTTACTACTACACTATTTATATATGCATGTATATATGTATTTAACATTACCATGTGTTGAGCAGTTATTGTTATAGACCAGGCACTGGGTTAGCCCTTCACACCTGTGATCTAAACCAGGGACCAGCAAACAACGATTTGTCCCACTGTGCGTTTTTGTGTGGTTTGTGAGCTAAGCATGGTTTTTACATTTTAATATATGGTGGTGGTGGGGGGAACGGGACCAAAAGAAGGAGAATGTTCATGACCCATGAAAATTAGATTGAGTTCAAATTTCAGGGTCTATACCTATGGAACAGAGTCATGTCCACTGCTTCATCTCCGGTTGCTGTGGCACTACAACCCTACAGCTCACATATTTACTATCTAAAGTTTGTCGACACTTGACCAAGATTTTTTTTCTCAACCACTTCACAAAGGAAGGCTGTAGCACATATAGTAAGTGGCAGAATTTGAACCCAGGTCTTTCCAGGTTCGCAGCAGCATGTGCCATCAGCCACTATACCCCACAGCCTTGAAAGTACGTGACTGGACACCTTGGGGTAGGATACATAGGTCGTAGTCTATGAAATAAACTCGAGGAAGGAGTTTAAGAAATGGGGTTCAGTCCTGCTCAAATTACTCTATTGTTACATCAGAGGCCTGACTTCCTGCCTTGACGGTACCACTGATCCTCAGCTTGACCTTGGGAAGTCAGATCCTGGTGCACTGATATGAGAATGGGTTTGCAAGGAGAAAACCCTCAATTCTAATCCCAGCTCTGTCATTGACTAGCTAGGTTGCCTCTTCTGTTTCCACTTCTGTGAACCACAAACAATGGGATTTTCCTTCTAATGTTTTGAGTAGATTAAATAAAGTCTCCATGCTACCTATTGTTGCCCCACTTTCTCTTTCTCTAGGCCACCATTTTTCCATCTGAAAAATGATTAGACCTTTTGCTCTGATACTCTGGGATAGTGACATTCTATGTGTCTTATTTTAGCTCAGTGTCTGGCTCCACATGCTGTGGCTCAAGTTTGCATGGAGGTCTCACCCTGGTTTTCCTGGAAAAGGTCTCATTGGTTCAGGTTGGAGGCATGAGGGAGGTTTAGCCTAGAGAAAGCTAGGTGAAGAGAGGGGAGAACACTGGGCCAGGGATATTCAAAGATTTATCTTTGCAGAGCCACCTTGAAAGGGGGGAGCCAAATGGGGGCCCCAGGTGACAGAATGGAAATAACATGTACAGCAGGGTTTGTTTATAAAATGTCAACTGGATTAAAAGGACTTGAATGGAGTTTAATTAAATTATGTTAAATTAATTTGAATTGAATTTAGGAATTGAGTCAGAATGGATTGGGGTTAGTTGGACCAGCGGTATTAGAACTGAGGTGATCTGGGCTGATCTGAGCTGAGTGGGTCTGAACTGAACTATCCTGAGCTGCAGTTTCAAGAGGGGAACACCAGAAAGGACTCTAGTCTGGAACTCAGGACACTTGAGTCCCTGAGGAACCAGCTTATGCTGGTGTCTTGGGCAACTCCCTGCACAATTCTGGGCCTCAGTACCCTCATTTTATCAAGTGAGTACTAATAATAATTCCCAGGCAGAGATGTTATGAGGAGGGCATGAGATCACTCATGCAAAAGAGTCTAATGGCTCAAAAAAAAAAAAGAACTATAAACACATATTGAACGCCAGTTAATGACATGTATAGTGAAATGTTTAGGGAGAAGTGTACTGATGCCTCAACTTACTTTGAATTGCATACAGACAATAAGATAAATAATAATAAGATAGAGTGATGGATGGGTAGAAATATAGATAGATGAACAGATACAAGGCAGAGCAAGTCTAGTAATATGGTATTAGTTGACTCTAAGTGGTGGGTACATGGGTATGGACATCAAAATTCTTTTGCCTTTTCAGTTTGTTTGAAAATGTTTTAAATAAAATGTTGCACAGGAAATAAAGAGCCTTGTAATCTGTTAATTGCTAAAATATCAGCAGTGGTTAAAAATACAGCCTCTGGAGGCGAAATTCGTGAGTTTGAGCCCCAGCTCTACTCTCACTGGTTTTATGGCCCTGAGCAAATGACTTCATCTCTCTGAGTGGTTGTTTCCATATCTGTAAAATGGGTCTATTAATAGCGGTAATAACTCAAAGGGTTGTGAGTATCAGAACAGAGCCTAGTACCTAATTGGCACCCAATAAGCATTCGCTATGGTTTGGTCCTCTCAACGACGCTGTGAAATAGGCACTGCTATCTCCACCTCACAGAGAAGGAAAGTGGGGCTCAGAGGGGTGCCGCAATTCCCCTAGGATTATTACACAGAAAGGAAGTGGCTTTCTTAGTGGAAGAGGGACCACAGGTTCTTGGAACTAGAATAGTCCCAAAGCCCCTAAGTCCTTTCTTTGGGCTCACCCGATAGGATGAAGAAGATGCCAGAAACGAAGGCCAGAATGGTCCTCTGTGGGCGGATGTGGCCGATGTTGCTGATGACAAAGGCGGTGAACACGAGGAAGAGGCTGACCATAGGGAAGGGAGTGGCTGTGCGCACTGTCTCTGGGGAGGAGGGAAGAAAAGTAGGGGGGTGGTGGTGAGGGGTGACTCTTCAGGGAACACCTCCCCATTCCCTTGACTTCTCCATTTCCACCCCCTACCCGCGCCCCCTTTTCAGGCCCCTCCCCTTTCTGATATTTCCACTGCTTTCTCCATCCCTTCATCCAGGCCACGCCTCCTTTGGTTTGACTCCATTTCCTGTTGGCTCCACCTACTGCCTCGGCCCACTCCTTCAACCTGGCCCCTCCTCCTAACCCAATGACTCTGCCTTCTTTCCCCCCCCCTTTTTTTAGTCACCAAAAAGGATTTATTCGAGAAAAGAAAGGGTTGCAACCCAGTGCATGCAAACCACGCTGCCTTCCTTCCAGCCTGCATTCCTTCCCTTCTACCCGACCTCTTTCCTGGTCCTGCCCTTTCTCCCAGGACCTGCCCTGTGAACCTGGGCTGGCCCTTTGTTGCCTACGCTCCCCACACTTCCCCTCACTCAGAATATTCTCCGTGTTTTCCGTCACCAAGTTGATCTCCGGTTCAAGGAAATATTCCGAGGCCACGCAGCGACCCTTCTCCCGGCCTGGGGGATGATAAGAAGGCAGGGCTAAATGAGAGGCTCCTAAGCTCTGGAGAGAAAGTCCTCTGAGAGGACACACAGTCGGGAGACCCTGGGATGGGGATGCGAGGCTTAATCCAAGGGTTACAGTTTGTACTTCTCTTGGGTGGTTGTGGAAGCGGGTGGGCAGGAGATCTGGGAGCTCCTCTTGTCTGCTGCCCTAGAGACCCATGGATAGAAGAGGGCAGGGCTTGACCCTGGGTCCCGTGTGAGGAGGGGCTGTGAGCCAAGACTCCCGGATCCCTAAAAAGGATAAGGCCTGGGGGGGGGAGGGGGAAGGGCCAGGCGGACAGGATTCCTAGAAGGGGGCGTCTCTGTGGTCAGTCTCTGTGGTCGCTGGGAGGCGTGGATGTTTTATCCTGCCCAATTAGCACTGGAACTCTCCAGGGGAAAAGTTCTAAACCTACACTACTGCTTCTAAGGGGTACTCTGTGGTTCTCTTAGGATTAGGGACCTGGAGATAGTGTCAGCACTGGGGCTCCTAGATCCAGGGAATAAAAGGCTAGAAATTGGGTCTCCAGGTAGAAATTGGACTTTCCAGGAGAGAAAAAGGATCAGTTTCTGGATTTCTGGAACCCAAGGGATGGCACTATGGATAAGGACTCTTGGGTCCCAGGCAAGGGCAGCGACCGTTGAGTGGAGGGCAGGTGAGGTCTGTACCTGCGAAGAAGCAGACGCGCCAGAGGCCGGCGTGCAGCGCCATCTTGACCTCCGTGGTCTGGTTCTGCGGCAGCACTGTTCCCTCCTCCATGTACAGCCAGTAGTCAGTGCTGACCGCAATGCCCACCAGCAGCAGGCCACACGCACCAAACACACTGCTCAGCAGGGTCAGGGCACGGCTGCTGCAGTGACTCATCCTCAGCGGCGGGGGGCGCCCTGCGGGGCCTGAGGGACAGGGAAGCTGCCTGGCAGGAGACTGATGGGATGGGCTAGAGTCCCCAATCCCATGCAGCCACCTGGGACACTAGACCCAGGCCCAAAACACCAATCCCCAAACCCAAACCTCTCTAATTTGACCTCTGTATCTTGACCCATGACCCCATCCCTGGATTTGAACCCATTGCACCAACTGTTGACCCTCAACCCCAGGACTGGCCTTCCCAAACTTAATACTTGTGCTCTGGCTCTGGATCCTGATAGGAGACACCACACCAGACCCCCAACTTCAGGGTAAGATTTCCAGCCATCACCTTCAGCCCCAGAGCCAGAGATTGAACCTTGACTCCAACTATGTGTCTGGACCTGGTTGTCAAATATTATGACTCTAATTAGAAACTCAATTTCCAGATTCTCAACCCCAGAACCAGGTCCTCCAACCCTAACCTCATGCCCTGACCCGAGGCCTCAACAGCAAACACTGGACCCCACCAGAATCCCTAACCCTGAGCCTGGGCCCATGATTCAGAAGCTATTACACTGATCAGGCACTCCAACACTAGGACCAGGCACACACCTCCAACCCTGACTCTGTGCCCTGATCCAAGCCACCAATCTTGAATACCGTACTGCAACAAGGGCCTGTGACCTCACCTCTGAGCCAGGAACTAGGTCCCTGGTCACTGAGTGTTGGACCTTCAACACTAGATGCTGAGCAACATAACCTGTGTAGAAACCCTAACCCAGACCACACAGTCCTGACTGCATGCCCTGACCTTGTACCCTGACCCCTTTCCTTTGGACTCTGTCTCTGAATAGCAACCAGAAATCCCCTAAGCGGGTCACTAACCAAAGACCCTAACTCCATAACCTGGCCTCAGGCTCTTGACCTCAGGCCTACCTAAGACCTTGAGCAGAGGCCTCCACCTAAGTTTAAACACTTAGAATCTTATCTTGACCCTTAGCACTCAATTCTAACACTAAGACCTTAACCCATCAATGTGGGTTAACTCTGAGCCTACCTTGACCTCAATTTGGTACCCCGATCTGAGATCGTGGCCCATGACCCAGATCCAAGATCCCAGGACCCTAATTCTCCCCCATCCCAAGCTGCTGGATCCCAAAACACTGGGACCCAGAGACCTGGAGCCAGGATTTTGAATACAGGCTCCAGAATGGCAAAGCCATGATTTGGAGACTCCACCAACTCAGCACCTTGACCAGAGCAATCCAGTCAAACAGGTGACCTTCCTTCAAACTAAGGATCAGTGCTCTAAACTCTAAAGCCCAGTCAGGAAGTTTAGGATCCCACCCCCCTCATCCCCCATCACAAGATTTCCCAATTCCCCACCAGAGATTGTGGATTCCAATTTCTCATGCTAGGACTTTTGATTACACACCCTCTTTAGCATCCAAACTGGACCCCTCACCCCTGTAACACTGGACCCTCCAAACAGTTCACAGCTGGGGCCCCCAAATTCACATGAAGAATCTGGAGATTTCAGCTGAGGTGCTTGTCATCCGTTATCCACCACCCTTCACCCTCACCACAAACTTTTCCCTAAACCACACAATCTAATGATTTGGGTGACTCAACATGGGATTCCCATCCTATTTCAACTAAAGACCTCTACATCCCTGACTATGAGAGTCCCCATCATCTTTTTAACTATGATGATTAGGACATGTAAACACTCCCCCAACAATGCAGCCATGACTTGAGACCCCACTTTTTTTAACCAGAATGCTGGTAGCCTTGAAACTCTGTCCCATCGCAATAAGGACAATAAGGAGTCTGAGACAACTTTCACCATTACCCCCATCCCAGCATCCAGTGCTTCCCCCCACCCCCACCCCAACTCTAAGTGGTGGGTACATGGGTATGGACATCA